ACATCAGTTCTCAACTAGCACAATGGACTGAAAAATGTGCATTTATTTCATAGCAATATGGTTTTCTGAAATTAAAGCTGCAAATCTAATACACTACTTATCACTGGTTAAAGCTAGCAATGGAGGCCAAATGTGGCTTGGTAGACTGCCTGCAGGAAAGCCTCATGCCAGTCTTAGCATTGCCAGATTAACAACAACAACAACAACAATAATAGCAGCCAATGATAGTCATATCAGCCTTGCATTTACTTCTTGCCCTACCTCCAGTTTTTTTTTCTGACCTTCAACAAGGTTATGTGAGTGTCCCCACTTCCAGCCTTGGTGCTGGATCCAAAAGAGGGATACTTACAGATAGCCTGAATACCTGATGATGAGTTGTCATGGGAGAATATAAGGCTGGGGAGATGGCTTAGTGGATAAATGAAGACTATGCAAGCATGAAGACCCGAGTTTAAATCCAGAGAACCCATGTAAAGCCAAGCACAGTAGCATGCATTTGTAACCCCACTGCTTCTAGAGACTAGAAAATCCCTGAAAGTTTATGGATCTGGCATACACAGCTATGAACAACAAAGTGACCCGGTCTCAAACAATGTGAGGACTGACCACAACATACCTGAGGTTGTCCTCTTATCTCCACACACGTTCAGTGGCAAGGGCGTGCCCGCACCTACTCACATGAATGTGCATGCACATTCACAGATTAAAAAGAGGAAGGAGAGCTGGTTCAGCAGTTAAGAACACTGGCTGTCTTGCAGACATCCTCGGTGTGAATTCCAGCACTTGCTAAAGTAACTCCAGTTCAAGGGGATCTGACGACCTCTTCTGGCGTCGGTGGGAACTGCACAAATGCAGCACATGGACACACATGCAGGCAAGACACCCACACTCATAAAATAAATATTTTAAAAGGGGTAGGGGCTGGAGAGATGCCATAACAGTTAAGAGCATTTGTTGCCCTTTCAGAGGACCCAGGTTCATTTCTCAGCACCCACATGGTGGCTCACAACCATCCATCAATCCAACACTCTTCTGAACTCCACGAACACCAGGCACACATATGGTACACATACCCACATTCAAGCAAAACACCCATACACATTAAAAAAAAAAAGCTTGAATGTTTTATTTTTAAAGAGAAAGAATACAGGGGAGAGGACTTACAGACCATGAAGGTTTAGGAAAGGGAGTGGGGGAGGTTAGAAAGATGGCTCAGTGATTAAGAGCACTGGCTGCTCTTCCAGAGGACCCAGGTTCAATTCCCAGCACCCACATGACAGCTCACAAGTGTCTGTAACTCCAGTTCCAGGAGATCTGACACCCCATACAATATACACAGGCAAACACCAATACACATAAAATAAAAAAAAATTTTAAAAGGCAGTAGGAGCTGGGTGGTGGTGGCTCATGCCTTTAATTCAAGCACTCAGGAGGCAGAGGCAGAGGCAAAGGCAGGTGAATCTCTGTGAGTTTGAGGCCCTCTTGCTCTACTGAGAGAGTTCCAGGATAGCCTCCAAAGCTTCAGAGAAACCCTGTCTTGAAAAACAAAACAAAAGAACCTTAAAAGGGGGGGAGAATAGGGGGGTGCAGAGTTTTCATTATTTAAGATATGTGGTGAGGGGGAAAAAGCCATGAAAGTAGAAAGGTTGGGAAGAGTAAGGGGTCCAGCAGGGGTGAGAGGGGGCCAAGAGAGGGTGATGGGTGGTGAATATGATCAAGATACATTCTATGCATGCCTGAGAATGTCACAATGAAGTCCATTATTCTGTATAATTAGTGCATATAAAAATGATATGAGGGGCTGAAGAGATGGCTCAGAGGTTAAAAGCACCGACTGTTCTTCCAGAGGTCCTGAATTCAATTCCAGCAACCACATGGTGGCTCACAACTATCCGTTATGAGATCTGGTGCCCTCTTCTGGTGTGCAGACATACATGGAAGCAGAATGTTGTATACATAATAAATAAAATCTTAAAAAAAAATGTGAAGCGGTAAAGGTCAGGGTGCAGCCTCATGGCACTGCACTCCCTTGCATGTGTTAGGGCCTGGTTCCATCACCAGTGCCATAGCTATGTGTCTGTGTGTATGGACTCTTCCCAAGAGACCAAGTCCTTGATACATTACCCTGGGCCTCCTGAGCCTCTCAAACCCCATGCTGGCTTTTGAGATATGGGATGGCTAATCTGGGCTGTCAACTTGACATTTGTAAGTAACTAAAACTCAAGCATCTGGGCACACCTGTGAAGGATTTTTCTTGGTTGGCTATTTGAAGTGGGAAGACCCACCCTAAATCTGGGCCACATCTTCTGGTTGTTGCCAATTAAAAATACTGGGGAGAAGGAAGCTTGTGCTTTCTGTCTGCTTGCCCCCCTCTTATTGGCAAGCTTATCTATCCTGAGTCTTTGCTTTACCGGTGTTAAAATCTTCCTTTTGGGGTTCCAATATGGATTGGGAATTGGCAGCTCTCTAGGACCTCCTTGGACTCCAGCACCTGGACTGCTGGGATATCCAGTTTTGTGGATGGAGCAACTACTGCATCCTTGGCCTTTCCAAGAGGACTTACAGACCATGAAGGTTTAGGAAAGGGAGTGGGGGAGGTTAGAAAGATGGCTCAGTGATTAAGAGCACTGGCTGCTCTTCCAGAGGACCCAGGTTCAATTCCCAGCACCCACATGACAGCTCACAAGTGTCTGTAACTCCAGTTCCAGGAGATCTGACACCCCATACAATATACACAGGCAAACACCAATACACATAAAATAAAAAAAAATTTTAAAAGGCAGTAGGAGCTGGGTGGTGGTGGCTCATGCCTTTAATTCAAGCACTCAGGAGGCAGAGGCAGAGGCAAAGGCAGGTGAATCTCTGTGAGTTTGAGGCCCTCTTGCTCTACTGAGAGAGTTCCAGGATAGCCTCCAAAGCTTCAGAGAAACCCTGTCTTGAAAAACAAAACAAAAGAACCTTAAAAGGGGGGGAGAATAGGGGGGTGCAGAGTTTTCATTATTTAAGATATGTGGTGAGGGGGAAAAAGCCATGAAAGTAGAAAGGTTGGGAAGAGTAAGGGGTCCAGCAGGGGTGAGAGGGGGCCAAGAGAGGGTGATGGGTGGTGAATATGATCAAGATACATTCTATGCATGCCTGAGAATGTCACAATGAAGTCCATTATTCTGTATAATTAGTGCATATAAAAATGATATGAGGGGCTGAAGAGATGGCTCAGAGGTTAAAAGCACCGACTGTTCTTCCAGAGGTCCTGAATTCAATTCCAGCAACCACATGGTGGCTCACAACTATCCGTTATGAGATCTGGTGCCCTCTTCTGGTGTGCAGACATACATGGAAGCAGAATGTTGTATACATAATAAATAAAATCTTAAAAAAAAATGTGAAGCGGTAAAGGTCAGGGTGCAGCCTCATGGCACTGCACTCCCTTGCATGTGTTAGGGCCTGGTTCCATCACCAGTGCCATAGCTATGTGTCTGTGTGTATGGACTCTTCCCAAGAGACCAAGTCCTTGATACATTACCCTGGGCCTCCTGAGCCTCTCAAACCCCATGCTGGCTTTTGAGATATGGGATGGCTAATCTGGGCTGTCAACTTGACATTTGTAAGTAACTAAAACTCAAGCATCTGGGCACACCTGTGAAGGATTTTTCTTGGTTGGCTATTTGAAGTGGGAAGACCCACCCTAAATCTGGGCCACATCTTCTGGTGGTTGCCAATTAAAAAGACTGGGAAGAAGGAAGCTTGTGCTTTCTGTCTGCTTGCCCCCCTCTTATTGGCAAGCTTATCTATCCTGAGTCTTTGCTTTACCGGTGTTAAAATCTTCCTTTTGGGGTTCCAATATGGATTGGGAATTGGCAGCTCTCTAGGACCTCCTTGGACTCCAGCACCTGGACTGCTGGGATATCCAGTTTTGTGGATGGAGCAACTACTGCATCCTTGGCCTTTCCAGCAGGAGACATCTGTTGTTGGACTACTTGGACCACAGCCTGTAAGCCACTCTAATAAATCCCATATAAATAGTCATTCTATCTGTTCTGTTCCTTAGAGAATCCTAACATAGGGGATGCATGCAGACGTGCGAGCGCACGCGCGCACACGCACACATACACACACACACACACCCCAGAACAAAACCCAGGGCATGGGCTGTCAGAGATGGCTAATTCTGCATGGGTGGGTCAGACTCTAAACTTGCCCTGATGCTGTCACTGCTGCTATAAAAATATGGGAGTAACCCAACCAGCTGCCTCACACGAAACAAAGACAGTTTCATAGCCTGGCTGAGTTTTCTCAAGAGAGCCATCCTGCTATGGGAGCACTGGTTATAGTCTGGCTTCCTTCGACTGGACTAAAGCCTCCCCTGGCTTCTCCTCGGTTACATTCTAAATCTCTAAGGATAAGCCAGGGAGACCTTTTATTGCTTAACCATTTCACTTTTCCCAAAGCTTCCAGAGCCACCCTCAGATCCCTTAACCAAGTCAGCATATAAGTGAGGCTGCCAGAAGCACCCGTGAGTCTCAAAGTCCTTGTGTCACCAGGGAGAACATGTCAGTCTTCTTTGGCCTCCAGTTCTACTCACTAACCAAGTAAAACTGAATAGTCCCTAGCGGAAAAACTGCCCATAGAGCCAAGTATGTGTGCTCTTCAGGCTGGACAATGTCGCCATCTAGAGGCAATCAAAGGAGCTTCATGCAAGAGGAGGGGGCAGGTTCAATATACAGACAGCCCAGGTGGCATGAAACTTGCTATGTAGCCCTGGCTGGTGTCCAGAACTTGTCACTATCCACGTGTTGTGTTTACAGGAACATTACTAAGCTCTACAAAGACAGTTTCTTGAAGTTCAGAACCCTTCTTGTATATATGGCATGGCTTTGGTGGCATCTCTGACTCAAGGAAAGGCCTCTCCAGAGTCAGGCTGGCATTATGCCAGACAGGGAACACAGCTGCTTCCTATCAGCCCCGATATCCCCTTTGTTACATTCATTCATTACACCAGACCATAAAAATAAACCTTTAATTTCTTGGTAGTTGGCACAGATGGTATAATTCAAGCTCACGTTTGTATTTAGCAGATTCTGGAATACCACACTAGCTTTGACTGAAACAGAACAAGGATCACAGTGGTCTAACTTTATGAAATTACATTCAGCAGCAGCAAGTTCTGAAGTTATTGGATAAAGGAATAACAAGGGCGAGAGTGAACAAGAGAAAAAGCAATCAGGAGACAAACAGCGTGTAACGAAGCTCTTCTAAGATGGCTGGAGACTTGTGCTTCCTAGACTGTTTTGTTATTTATTTTATTTTTTAAAGATTTATTATGTATACAGTATTCTCTCTGCATATATGCCTGCAAGCCAGAAGATCTCATTATAGATGGCTGTGAGCCACCATGTGGTTGCTGGGAATTGAACTCAGGACCTCTGGAAGAGCAGCCAGTGCTCTTAACCTTTGAGCCATCTCTCCAGACTCTATTTGTTTTTTAAATAGGGTCTCATTGAGCCTTTGTCTGATGTCGAACTCTCTTGTTCTTTCTGCCTGTACCTCCCAGAAGCCGGGAGTTACAAGCAGGTGCTACCCCACACAGCTGTTTCTTGGGTTTTGAAGATCTTTGCTGCATTATGAGCAACCAAGAGCTGCAAAATTCTGCTTACAAATACAGTGTGTGTGTGTTGGGGGTGGCTATCAGCGCACCTGGGAAATACTTTCCTGGGAAAGAAAAAGCAAGTGAAGTCTTGTTGAAACCATGTGGTGGAACTGATTCTGAAGGGCTATGTCTCCCAGTGGGAGATAGTCTTTGCTAAAGCCACAAAAGGGTTATGATCAAGTAGAAATCCTGTCACACTCTTCCCATCACTATAGTCCCTGAGGACAAAGCTCCAAGTCCCACCTTTGCAGCAGGATGATGTCAGAAAGGCCCAGGTGCTCTTTACAAGTTACCCTGGAATTTCAGGTCAGTGCCACAGACAAGCTGTTACTAGAGACATCTACTGGTCAGGGTAGAAACTGGGAGCAAAAATCATCCCATCCCAGAATACCCAGGAATAGGGTATTCTATTAAGAGTGGGATGGCAAATGGGAATCCCTCTGATTTTCTCAGTTATGGGCACCAGCAACCCAGAAAATGCCGTGGGAAAGGCATTCATGGAGGGTTGGGTGCTCCTGGAAGGGTTCATTTGATCTCAGTTCCTGGCTGACTCGGTGTTGGTTTAGAACTCAAATTCCAGCCTGAGCTACTGCTTGAATCCAGCTTCCTAGAGCAGAGGCGAAGCACAGGTGGCTCCCATCAACACATGTGATCCTCATCGCTCTAGACAGGCCACAGAAGAGTGTGACTGGGAACATGCAGAACACCAAATTGGAAACCTAGGCTGGTACATAGTTGATCTTTCTAGCTGTCCTGGCCTCACTGTTCTTGCACCAATGACACCGAGGTCTTCAGGTCTGTTGTAGTCTTGTCTAGGGCAGGTTTCTTGGAGTAATCCCGCTCTCCAAAAATGGTGCTTCCTACCCGGACGTTTGTAGATCCCACCTCAATCTGTGGGAAAGAAAAAAGCACAAACGCTAAATGTAGCTGTACTTCATTTTCAATGCCCAGAGGCTGCATAAGGAACAACCAAGCTGCAGCTGAAGATGGCTAGGTAGGTGCTCTGGTGTCCCTGGAGCAGGGCCACTGCTTAGGCAGTGATCTCAGCTTGCACAGTGGTTAGGCAGTTTATCGATGTGGCGACAAAGGATGGTAGAGATTGAGGTGTGTGGGACAGAGCAGACCATGACCAAAGGACCGAGGTTGGCCAAATGGAAAAACCTGTAATTACCTAAATGTAGATTCAAACTCCAGTTTAGAATTTTTGCACTGTTTTCATATATATGGTATTCTAAAAATACAATTTCTGTCTGTCTGTCTGTCTATCTATGCATGATCTCACTATGCAGCCTTGGCTTGCATGGAACTTATGGGGTAGACTAGGCTAGCTTGAAACTCAACAGCAATCTTTTTGACTCTGTTTTCCAAATGCTGGGACTACAGGAGTGTGCCACAGACCCAGCTATTATTTACTGTCTTAGAAATTCATGTATGTCAGTTGCTAACACAGTACTTAACTTCAGTTTATACTTCCTGTCACATAGCTAATGCTCTATGACTTAGGTATGAAAATGCCTTTAAAAATCAGTTTTAAATTTCTTTTTTGGTGCTGGGAGAGCAAACCCATGGTATAACACATTCATTAAACCTTAAATTATACCACAGCCTTTCCCCAGATTACATGGAGTGGATTACGTTGAGTTTTAAGTGTTCAGCTGTAATTTATATAAATGTTAGAACGGTTGAATCACTGTGACTGTTCTGTTACTAGGATGAGTCATTTAAAGGACCCCTGACCCAAACCTACTCTATCTAGGACCTACCCTACCCCCTTTGCCCCTGTGAAGGACACTCACAGCATGCTGGAAGTCAGCGGACATGCCCATGCTCAGCTCCACCTGGTCCACAGGAATGTTCAGCTTTTCACACAGCTCCTGCCTCAGGCGCAGTAACATCTGACCAAACATAAGGGTTACCGTTTTATTCTGGTTGTTTCCTGTGATGTCAAAAGATGACCAAATCTGCCAGGCATAGTGGTGCTTGCCTATAATACTTGGGAACACGCAGGAGAATCCTAAGTTCAAGGCCAGCCTAGGCTACACAGGGTGCTGAACTTGTCTCCAAAATAAAGCAAAAAAAAAAAAAAAAAAAAAAAAAAAAAAAAAAAAAAAACTAAACGAAACGCAAAACCCATCAAAATGAAAACAAGGGAAGTTACCAAACCAAAATATTTCTGATTATTCTATTCTTCATGATTTTGGGGTGTGTAATAATTATCAGAAGTTACTGCTGGGCGGTGGTGGCACACGCCTTTAATCCCAGCACTCGGGAGGCAGAGGCAGGTGGATCTCTGTGAGTTTAAGACCAAGAGTGGTCTACAAGAGCTAGTTCCAGGACAGACTCCAAAGCCACAGAGAAACCCTGCCTTGAAAATGCCCCCCCCCCCAAAAAAAAGTTACTATAAGCTTTTAGCCACATTCCCTACTTTCAAGAAAACTACCAGGGGGGCTGGAGAGATGGCTCAGAGGTTAAGAGCACTGACTGCTCTTCCAGAGGTCCTGAGTTCAATTCCCAGCAACCCCATGGTGGCTCACAACCCCCCATTATGAGACCTGGTGCCCTCTTCTAGTGTGCAGATATACACGGAAGCAGAATGTTGTATACATAATAAATAAATAAAATCTTGAAAAAAAAAAAAAAAAGAAAGAAAGAAAACTACCAGGGCCAGGGGCGTGGCTCAGTAGTAGAATGCTTTCACAGCATGCTCCAGACCCTGGATTCCACCCCAAGCAGTGGGGACAAAAACCAACAACACCCTGAAAGTGAAACAAAACAAACCCAACAACAATAAAAATGCCAACTGCCAGTCACTAAAAAGAAAGAAAAGTTTGTTCTAAAAATTGTTTTAGCCAAGTTAAAACTGAGTTAAGGAAGGTATACATGTGTCTGGGAGCCTAGTCTTCCATTTCTTTCTGAGGAGAGTTCAGAAGAGGCTGTGATACTGTGCCTGACAGGCTACATTCTGAGAGGTCCCTGAAGTACCACACTGCTGTGGAATAATCCTGTACATGGTGAAAATGTGTTGCTCTCATTGTTAACAAAAAGCTGATTGGCTGGTAGCCCAGCAGGAAGTACAGGCAGGACAACCAAACTGAGAATGATGGGAAGAAGGGCAGGGAACAGAGGAATTGCAAGTAGAAACTGAGAGAAACGTCTACTTTCACCACACAGCCAGCCCAGCAAGCTCATGTGATGCTACTGTACCCCACCAGTGCTGGGATCAAGCACAGGCAAGGCACATGCTGGATACATCCTACCAGTGGGCCACACCCACAGCCCCAGGATGCTTCTTTGACACAAGAGCATCACCCTGATCCCAGTACCTGGAAGTCTGGGTTTGGTCCTTGACTAAGATCATGTCCAAAGCTTCCTATGGTCATGAGCCCCACGAACTCCAGGTTGGGACAACTGGCCTTTATGTGTTCCACCACGGCTATGGCCTCTGAAGACGGAAGGCCATGTTTACCTTCACAAAAAGAAACAGAAGGGTATGTCAGCATGTCTTAACTAACCAGAAGAAGGCTACACTTTTATCCCTTCCTACAACAGAGGTGACTGAGATGAAAACCTGATGAAGTAACTTACTCTAAGGGTCCTCATGCCAGCCTCTCTTCCACTCAGGGTCTACGTTTAGATCAGATTCCCTTTAGTCTATCTTTTTTTTTTTTTTTCCCAGTGCCAGAGACTAAACCCATAGATCTGCACACACTAAGCCACGCCCCATAGGATTTTAGCTGAGAATGGCTGGGGAGGAACAGAAAAGGAAAAGTACATTGTGGTTTGAATGAGAACGTCCCCTATATTTGAACACTTCCTTCCCAGTTATTGCCACTATTTGCCTAGGACTAGGAGATGTGGCCTTGATGGAAGTATGTCATGGGTGCCAGCCATGACATTGCTAAGCCATGTATCATTCCTAGCTCTCCTCCTACTCCATGTTTGTGGTTCAAATGTGAGCCTGCAGCTTCTGTTCCAGCTGCCATGCTCGCCTGCCACGGACCTTATCCCCCTGGAACCACAAACTAAATAAACTCTTCCTTCTGTAAGTTGCCTTGGAACATGAGGGACAGCCACACTGACGAAGTCCTAGATGAATCTCAGAACTTTTTTCTAAACCTGGCATCTTTATGGTTTTTACCAATTTATTAGTAGAAATGAAAAAATTAAATACACACAATAAATTTGGGGCTGTATATTTTCGAAGTTTAACTTTCTAGTTAAGGATGGCTGGGGGAACTGCAGCAGATGGTTATTTGTTATGTAGTTTAAGAACTATTATTATTGCTTTGCCCCCATTTATTAAATGGAGTCCAGGAATTTTCACTGTTATTTAATTAGGGCAAATCACAGCTAATTGCCAAGAAATGTAATAAAGGCACTCTGGAGTCAGTATTGTATCCACTTACATGCAATGTAGCCAGTCAGGGAGCATTCACAAAACACAGCCATGGTAACCATTAAAATCTATTGAACACTGTGCCAGCCCTAAGACTTTACAATTCATACAGTAACTCTAAGTATTCGCACTAATATCAGTCTCCAGAGGAAACGAGGCAGGGAAGCTAAGTCCCTTTTAAGTTACATGACTAGAACTGTGAACCTGAGATTTGAACCCAGCCAGCCTGACTCTAGGGCACATCTGGGAAACATGCCCATACTGAGCTCCTTCATGCCAAGATCTGCTACATGTGAGCGCTTAGAAGATGGCTGTACGAAAATGCCTGGCACTCACTCTTTGTTTGTTTGTTTGTTTGTCGAGACAGGGTTTCTCTGTGTAACAGTTCTGGCTGTCCTAGAATTTGCTTTGTAGACCAGGCTGCCACCAAACTCACAGAGATCTGCCTGCCTCTGCCTCCTGAGTGTTGGTATCAAAGGCGTGTGCCATCACCGCCTGGCTTTGGCATTCACTCTTAACAAAAAAGTAAGCAAGATATCCAGGGTTTTGCATCACTGCACTGAATCCTCATACACTTTTGAAGGTGGGCACTTGCTCATGCCACTGTCACTTACGGGAATTCAGGTACAGAGATTAGGGTAACTGACTGAAAGTTCCAAAACTAGAAAGTGGTAGAGCTCAAACTCTCATCTGTCTGATATGGAGTCCATGCTGCTCTGCAACTCACTGTTGCACTGCTAGGCCAGGCCCGGGAGATAGTCACTCACTGGTGTTCAGCAGTTTCTCATCTATTCTCGCCCGATGATGCACTGGGTAATTTTCCTGAGACCTAAGGAGTATTATGCATCCAACTCTCAACCCCTTTAAGGAGGGGATTCATGGTGATGATGATCTTTGAGGATTTCTAGGACATCAAAGTTATAATTGCTCAAAATCAACACCTACCAGGATCATCACACTGCTAAGTTGTGACAAAGCAGCTTACTAAAAGGCTGGTGCATCGCCCCACAATCTCTGCATCAGCCACTTACACTCCCCACTCCACCAGCCATCTAAGGCACCAAACATCTACGGTCAGGTCAGCTCACTTACTCTCCTCTCCACTGGTGTTAATCTGGACCATAACCTTCAGTCGTTCAGTAGAACCTTTCTTCTGCCAGGAACTGTTCACCTTGTCTGCCAACTTCATGGAGTCTACCGTTTCCAGCATAAAGAGGTTGGGGACAGCTGAAATGAGAAAGAGGGAAGGTAGCAGTCTTCATTTTCCCTGTTGCTGGAGGAAGCATGCTATAAAACTTTGATCTGATAGAGGGAGAAGTATTCCAGGAAAAGAAAAGAACAGTTAAATGTTATGACTGGCCAAGAAGACAAACATGAGAGTCTGTCCAGAGGATCTGGGTTCAATTCCAAGCACCCACATGGCAGCTTACAGTTGTCTGTAACTCCAGTTCCAGGGCATCTGACACCTTCATACCAATGCACATAAGATAAAATAAAGTAAAATAAATTATGTTAAAAAAAAAGAAGCTGGTAATTAAGATTTGAATAGTAGACCAGATCTAATTATGACTCAGTTCAAACTGAGTGATACAGGTCAAATGACAAAGAACAGAGGCTGTCCAAAGGCCAAAAGACTAGCCTGGAAGGATATCATCATGTTCTTAAAATTTCTGGAATGGCTCTTCTTATTTGACAAGGAAACCAGAGCTCACATTGGATGCTCAGTCAGACAGTGAGGTCATCAAAGCCACCTTCTAAGAAGATGAACTATGACTCTTGCCACAGACAAATGACTGTGATGCAACCCCACCAGCTTACTGTACTGAGCACAGAAATCTTCCAGGCAGTTGGCTAACTACTTTCCCTGACCTCTGTCCCCGCTGTCTTACTCTTCCATGGTGAATACGGAACCCAAAGCCTGTGCATGTCACCAGCTTGCATTATTTGCTTCTTTCTTTCTTTCTTTCTTTCTTTCTTTCTTTCTTTCTTTCTTTCTTTTTCTCTCTGCCCCCCCCCCTCTCTCTGAGATAGGGCCTGTGATGGTCTGAGTGGAAAGTGTCCCCCATTGGCTCATGTATTTGAACCCTTGGTCACCCTTGGTGGCACTGTTTAGGAAGGTTATAGAACTTTGGGTAGGTGGAGCCTTGCTGGAGGAAGTACATCATCGGGAGCAGGACACAGCTTTTAGAGTTTAGTCTCATCACACTTCCTGTTCTTTCTCCCTCTGCTTCCTGTGTGGAAGGAAGTGTGATCAGCCAGCTTCCTACTCCTGCTGCCGTGCCATGCCTTCATGATGGGTTCTATCCTCTGGAACTACAAGCCAATATAAGCTTCTCCCTTAAGTCACTTTGGTTCATTGAATTTTTTTCACAGAAACAGAAAAGTAACTACTACAGGGCCCAGGGCTTCACTAGATTTATTTTTGTATCAGTTTTCTGAATATCTGTAATTGCAACTGCAGGCATGGGCTACTATGCCTGATCAGCATTACTCTTTGTAGTTTTTACCACAGTTGAGGATCACTATTATCTACAGAGAGGGGAGACCGAATGCACAACAGCGAGAGGTTAACCAAGTTGACAAAATCAACAAAACTAGAGCTTGTGATTTGAACCAACACATGTCTCTGTGAGATGATCTGCTGGGGGACCAACCCCCAGCTTCTGGCACACTGGAGTGACACTCCAGTAGGGCCCTGACACAAAGGAATCTTTGTGAAAACCTGAGAGTGCTGATCTACTACTCAAAAGAGTGGATGTTAGCAATCTTCCATATTTTTTAAAGAAATCCAATTAGAAAGGGTGGAGGTGGGGGCGGGGCTGAGGATGTGGCTCAGTTGGTAAGAATGCTATCCCAGGCACCACAAAAACCAGTGTGGTGGTACATGTTGGTAATCCCAGCATTTAAGAAGTAGACGAAGGAGAATCAGAAACTCCAGGTCATTTTCAGCTATATAATGAGACTGAGGCCAAACAGGGCTAAATGAGACTCTGTACCAAAATCACTTATGAGACTTCTTAGGGTAGTCTAGGTAGTATAGGCTGTATAGGCTTGTAAAATTCCAGCTGCTTGGGAGGGTGAGGCAAGAGGATCACAAGTTCAATGTCTACTTGGACTACAAAATGAGTTCAACTCTAGCCTAAGTAACTTGGCCATACCAGGCCTAACTTAAAACTTAAAAAAGAGACAGGGATATAGTTTAGTGGGAGAAAATTTGACTAGCATGAGAGAGGCCCTAGGTTCAGTCCCCAAAGGGACTGAGAGGAAAAAAGTACAGGAACCAGATTCTATTTGTTATTATTGTTTTTGTATTCTCATTCTATATATATGATGTGTGTGACATGGTGCATGTGTGGAGATTGGGGGACAACTTGTGGGAACTGGTTCTTTCCTTTCACTGTGGAACTGGAGGATCAAACTTACAAATGTCAAGCTTGTTTAAAAGTGCTTTCACTCACTGAGCCATCTGGTTGACCTTCTTCTTATCCTTTAAAGTAGCCCAAGTAGGGCGGGGATCATACATCTCTGAAACAACAATTTATAAGGACCAAGTTTCATGGAATAAAAGACACGTGATCTCTGAGAGTGGGAAACAAATGATGTGAGCCCCACAACTGCCCAAAGTTGAGGGCTTTCCGCAACAGGGCACTGGGAAGAAGACACAGGTAGAATGTGGTGGACTTTGAGCTGTGAGGATAGCAAGGGCTCAGAGTTCACTCTGCAGAGTGTGAGTGAAGACAGAGTTGCACTCAGTGAACCGGTGAACTTAATGGACTGGAGTGTTTAGCCGGGCACTGATGCGTGCACACACGCAAGGAAGTTACAAGTTAGGAGAAATACAGCCTGAGATTCACAAAGCACATGGAACACCGGTCAGGATGGAGAAAGTAGTATGTAAAGGACGGCTATGCCTTGGTAGTGTAAGTAATTCTAAACTTTGATCTGGCCTGGCTATAGACCAACTGCTGTTAACAACAAGACTTAAAGCTGGATAGCAGCATACAACTTTAATCCCAGCACCGGGGAAGAGAGGCAGATGCAGATCTTTGTATTTGAGGCCAGCCTGGTCTACTGAGAGAGTTTCAGGACAGCCAAAGCTCACAGAGAAACTCTGTTATGAAAAAATCAATCAACCAACCAAACAAAACCCAAAACCCTAAAGGGATCAAATTGTTCCAATAAAATATAAACTATGCTCCAGGACAAAGCAGAAGAATATTTATAGGAATATAAAAATAGCTAGAACTAAGCAAGACAAAATTCATGTCTGAAATCCAAACAAAATTGCCAGGCATCTTTCTGGGTGTATTGGTGGCTCATGTCTGCAGTTCCAGCAATCAGGGTGAGACAGGAAGGTCACCACAGGTCCTAGGTCAGTCTAGAGTAAGTTCCAGGTCAGAATGGGTTGGAGTCAGACTCTGGCTCAAAAAAACCCCAAAACCATAAAACAAAGGCAAACCAAACCAGCAACGTGAAAAGCAATTGTTCACAGGATGGTATATGATGAGACGTTACATTAGCTGAAATTGATGCAAAAAAGAGGAAATGAAAGAGTTAGTAGAGCGGGGTGTTGGTGGTGCATGCCTTTAATCCCAGCACTCGGGAGGCAGAGGCAGCCGGATCTCTGTGAGTTTGAGGCCAGCCTGGTCTCCAGAGTGAGTGCCAGGATAGGCTCCAAAGCTACACAGAGAAACCCTGTCTCGAAAAACCAAAAGAGTTAGTAGATAAGGACAGTAAGTTATTTCTTCCATGTATCTGAAGACTCAAACTTCTAGTCAAAACAAATGCCCCTCCCCCAAACTACAATGTATCAGATGACAAACTCTGATAACTGACAAAATTAGGCACTGTAAATGAAATTATTCAGAATGGCAAAACCAGTTGTCATTGTTTTTGTTAACTTGACACAAGCCAGGGTCATCCAGGAAGAGAGAGCCTCAACTGAGAAAATGTTTCCATAAGACTAGCCTGCCTCCTGAGTGCTGGGATTAAAGGCATGCACCACCAATGCCCAGCTTGCTGTTTTCAATTGTACTCTGATTAAACTGTTAAGAAAACAAACAAACAAACAAAAAACCAGGGGAAGCAAGATGGTTTAGTTTATAAAGATGCCTGCCACCAAGCCTGACAACCTGAGTTCAACCCTGGGACCCACACACTGGAAAGAGAACCAACTCCTCTATGTTGTCCTGTGACCTCTATATACACTATCAGCCTTGCTCTATTCCCCCTCAAAAGAGGAAAAACAAAAACAAAAAACCCAGGATTCTTAAATTTTGATATCTTGAGAAAAGTTATTCGAAATCCTCACATGTCACATGGTTAAACCTTTCTGTAGTTAGTAATTTTTTTTAACTGTGCTGGGGATTGATTTAGGGCCTTATAAATGCTAGGAGCACCCTATTGCTTAGCCACACCCCCAATCCTTATGCCTCATTTCTATCTTTATTTTAATGTTTTATTCCAAGAAATCCCACAACATGAATGGTGAGCTGGAAATGTTCTCAAAGCTGCTTACTCAGAAGGTAAGCAGCTCTACTTACTCTACTTACTCAGATAAGAAGGTGGTGGGAGCTATACAATCAAAGAGAAGGCCTGTCTTACCCATCAATTTGTTGACATTCTGTTTCTGTAAATGGCCAATGAAGTGCCATTTGATCTCAGGACATGAAGATAGAACCTGAGGAGAAAGAGGGAATCACTGATACAGATTTCATGCAGGTCCCATCAACCCAAGCATCCTTCATTCCTGTGCTCTCCCTGACTGGGAAGGACCATAGTTCTCTCAGCCAGTCTCCCACTGAGACACAAGAAACTAAACCCAGTGCTGTTTCCCTTCCTTGTTCCCATCAACTTCCTGTATTTTTCTGATGCTACTCATTAAAGACAAAAATGCTTTGTATTCAAGGCAAATACTCTGCCACTAAGCTGCATCCCATACCCTTTAATTTATGCTTTCAAATCTACCAAGATTCAGGTAGCTCTTAGAGTCACTATTCACAAACTGCCATAAGAGAGAATATTAAAGTCTGAATAAGGACAGAAAAGCTGAGAATTATTAGGGGCTCAAGGGCAACATGGACACTTTCCATGCCTAGCCCAGCTTTCTGCTCTAAAACTCCACCACCAACTCGGGTCTAACTTTCAGCTAAGAGCTAAGACTTCCATATGAAAAAAATCACTTCCCATGTCTACACACCTTAGGGTTTGATGCCTTTTCTAGTAGTTCTTGAACCTAAGGAGCAAGAGCAGAATGAGTCAGAAGCCTGGTAGTCACAACTCCTCCAAAGGCTCTTTATAAGAGGTGTCTTACATAGTTCTCTCCAAAAGTGCGTTGGCCGTGACCATAGGCCTCAATCACCATGTCTGCAGGTTTAGTTTTGCTGACCGCTACTAGCCGGGGTTGGATGGCTGGGAGATCCTGCCAAGAAAAAGCCATATAAGTGAATGTGTGAAAATATTGCTCCAATAAGATATATAACAAGTAGTGCCAGGCAGTGGTGGTGTTAAGTCTTTAATCCCAGCACTTGGGAAGCAGAGGCAGGTGGATCTCTGTGAGTTCAAGGCCAGCCTGGCCTACAAAATGAGTTCCAGGATAGCCAAGACTTCACAGAGAAACCCTGTCTCAAAAAACAACCAAAACAAAAAGATACACCTTATAAAACAGATTGGCACAGATTTCAGCTTGGCACTTGGTAAGACCCATTTTCCCATTCTTTTGTTTGTGTGGTGCTGGATATAGAACCCTGGGTTTTGGGAACACCAAGCAAGCACTTTACCACAGAGCTACAACCGTGTCTGCTGATTCCCTTTTGAATGAGTATTTGGGACAATTCTCACATAGAACAGTGCTGGAGGTTTAAAGATCTGAAGCAGAAAAGGTAGCCCAGAGGGCTAAATGCTAGCCATGTAAGCATAAATGCCTGTGTTTAGACCTCAACCTCCACATAAAAGGTAGTTGTGTCGATACCTGTCTGTAATCCCAGTACTGGGGGGGGGGGGGGGCAAGAGACAGGTGGATCCTTGGGGCGAGCTGGGTAGCTAGCTAGCTCCAGATTCAGTGACTCAAAATAGAAAGTGGAGAGTGACAGAGAAAGATGACTGACATTGACCTCTGACTTCCACACGTGCATGCATGGGCATGTGCACTTGCACATATGTGAGTACACCTCGTGAAGGTTTACGTTTGCACAAACATACACACACGGTATGCAATTGTATATACATGCATATAACACGTACATGAATCACTTTATTGGGTTGAGGGTGCAGCAACAGTGTTGGTAACAGTGGCAGTGACTGCTTAGCATCCTGAAGCTCTGAGTTGTATCCCCAGCTCTCAAAACACACAAACAAAAGATAAAACAAAACCCAACAGAATCCTGCCGGGCGTTGGTGGTGCATGCCTTTAATCCCAGCACTCGGGAGGCAGAGGCAGGCGGATCTCTGTGAGTTTGAGGCCAGCCTGGTCTCCAGAGCAAAGTGCCAGGATAGGCTCCAAAGCCACAGAGAAACCCTGTCCCGAAAACCAAACTAAAACAAAAACCTAACAGAATCAGTTCATTAAGGGAAGGCAGCATCGTATTGAGCAGGAGGCCACTTCTGGCTTTCTTCACCACAAAGTAAACAGTTGAGAAACTTATTTTGGGCATGATGTAATTATTGATAATGCTTCCCTTCTCTCTGAAAGAGACTGGATTGGGATAAAGACATATAATGTATTGTTCAACCTCTGATTAAACCAACCACTGGCAGAGCTAACAACAGGACACAAACAATTCTGTATTCAGGATTAGATTCATCCACACTCTACATCTGTTACACAAAATGCAGGGTTTCCCTGCTTTTGGCTGCAGCCAGATCCTCACACAGCTGTCTTCAAGGACCCCACCATTTCTGAGGCTTTCACAGAACCACAGTATTCTCAAGCACTCAGAGAAGTCACATCCATTACCCTCCAGTCTCCTGTTGCTTCCATCTGAGGAACAGTCATCCGTGTCTCATGGATGGTGTCTAATTCTTGGCAGCACGATGATAAACTGAAGGGATAAAGCACTAGCAGGCCTAACTCCCCGGAATCCCCAGCGAGGTGCATTAGGGAAATCCCAAGACAATACTGATACCACGAAGGAGGTTAAGAGCTCCATCTCATTTCCTTCGGCAATAAGGAAACTGAGGGCTAGAGAAGTTAATAGGACTTGTTTAAGGTCTAGACATCAGTTAAGAAAACTGTCTTCGGCCATCATTTTGACCATAAACGCTAGATCAGAAAGGGCTTTTATTTTCTGTCTCACAACATACCTTACAGAAACAGATACCGAGTCTAGTCTAATAAAAAGTCCAATAGGGGACAAAACTACCAGTACGAAAATAAAAATGCAGCCGGGCGTTGGTGGCACACGCCTTTAATCCCAGTACTCTGGAGGCAGAGGCAGGCGTATCTCTGTGAGTTCGAGGCCAGCCTGGTCCCCAGAGCGAGTGCCAGGATAGGCTCCAAAACTACACAGAGGCAACCCTGTCTCGAAAAACCAAAAGAAAAAAAAAAGAAAATTAAAAATGCATGTGACTGGGCACCTGACAGCTTCCCCCTACTCTGTGGAAGTAAAACCTTGACCAAGGGTCGCCGTGGCAATGCACGTGATCGCCGGTGGCTGTGGCCCTCTGAGGGCTCTAGAACTGTGGCGATGAGAAATGGCAAATGGCGAGACACCTGAACACGGATGACTTTCCCTAAATGAACACCTTCTCTCCAACCAAGCCATCCTCTAGAAAGCCCCGAGCCTTGAGGTCAGACCGCTGAGGAAACCTCGAGAGCCCCCGCGGTCCCTCCCCTCCGGGAACCCCTTCTGCGTCACTGTGACACCTGGCCCCACGCTGGTGTCCCCCTCAGCCCGCCCCAGTCCCCTGCGGCCCGTTCTCACCCGCCGCCGCCGTGACACACTCTGCTGGACGCGCTCGTTCACGGCCCGCAGCGCAAACCCGAGTCCCAGCTCCGTAGACATGCTGCCAGCTCTCCACATTCCCGGGAGAATGCCAAGGCGGGTACCGGCGACCCACGAAGACCAACTTCCGGTCACGCCCCCTTCACGCGAGGCCCAATCACCGCTCCCCATCCAGCCACCGCCCCCAATGGAGGCTGGCGGAGGAGGCCGGCGCCATCTTGGGGAGGTCGGAGGCTCTCCCGGCTGGGAACCTGAGTGCCCCCAAGTTTTGAGCTTGAGGTCAGTCTGTCCTGGAGTGAGACTCTGTCCCCAAACACTAAAAAACAATACAAAATCCCCGAGCAAGCCTAACTGGTGTTGTCAAATGTTAACAGAAACACCAGACAAGGGTGGATAATGCTGTTTAGGTCATTAGATGGAAATCCCCGAGTGTGGAACATCTCTTTAAAAGCTGTTGGTCACGGGGAAAAATTCAGGCTATTGCTGTTCTTAGTTGCTTAACTAAATGATGAGACCCTGTTGCTGAAGATACCATACAGAAATCAGGCTAGAACTGAGCGGGTTCTCCTTGCTGGTTAACTCTAGTAATGCCAGAGGGTGCTGTCTGCAGGCTCCCGAGGGAGAAAACCCAGCAGTGGTATCCAGCATTGAACCTCATGAGCTACATCATCAACCTGCTCGGCAAGACGTGCAGTAGTGCGATGACTATTAGGTGAGCAACCAACTGCTATTTATTTAGTTTTTCGAGACAGGGTTTCTCTGTGTAGCTTTGGAGCCTATCCTGGCACTCGCTCTGGGGACCAGGCTGGCCTCGAATTTACAGAGATCTGCCTGCCTCTGCCTCCCAAGTGCTGGGATTAAAGGCATGCGCCACCAACGCCGGGCAGGTGAGCAACCAACTGCTTTTTGACTTGACTTGGGGCCCATTCCATAGGAGGAATTCACGCCTACTACTGTAAACATGGCCAAACTGCCTTCTAAGTTTTTAATCTTTTTTTTGTTTGTTTGTTTTTTGTTTTTGTTTTGTTTTGTTTTGTTTTGTTTTTCGAGGCAGGGTTTTTCTGTGACTTTGGAGGCTGTCCTGGCACTAGCTCTTGCAGACCAGGCTAGTCTGGAACTCAGAGATCCGCCTGGCTCTGCCTCCCAAGTGCTGGGATTAAAGGCGTGCGCCGCCACTGCCCGGCTGCCTTCTAAGTATTTACATCCGTAGATTACTGCTGACTTCAGCCTTGGTCAGAGAAACCGTTTTTCTTAAGAGTAATGAGTCAGGCGTTGGTGGCACACGCCCTTAATCCCAGCACTCGCCTTTAATCCCAGCACTCGGGAGGCAGAGGTAGGCGGATCTCTGTGAGTTCGAGGCCAGCCTGGTCTACAGAGCGAGTGCCAGGATAGGCTCCA